TCTTTCATAAGATTTCTACAATATTTAGGTCAGTAGACGAAAATAAATATAGCATTTAATAAAGGATGTGTCGACTCAAATATTAGTATCCCCTAAAAAAAAAAAAAAAAAAAAAAAAAAAAATGTTTAAGTAATAAAAATCTGTTAGATTAATAAATAAAAACCTCATCCCTTTCCTTACATACAAAGCTATTATTAGAGAATTTTCAAAGAATAATAGTGCATATTTTCATCAGGTGTATTAAATAAAGCATTTTACACAGAATATTAAGTAGAAATAGAACCAGAGATTGATTTGAAAGCAAATTATATTTCAATAATCAGTACATAAATGGACATCATATAGTAAAGAATAGGATTCTCAGCATGACTATTTTAAAGGGTTAAAAATGGTCAGATACAATTCTGATAAAACATATTAAGATATTTTTGTTATCCCTGACTATGGTAGGCTGTGCACTAACATGAGAGTGCTCTCCAAAAAGCTTGGCTTTTGAATGGCTATATTTGTTTTCCTCTGGTCATATTCTAAAGCTGTGGGAGTGATCTCCCTGATCATCATCAATCTAGGACTACTGAACAACTGGCTGCATAGGTGGAAATCTTGGTTTGATACTCTATTGTCAGTTTCATCAGATTATTCTTCCATGCTAGCTGACAGCAAGTTGGAAGAGGGTGTAACCAACACCAAGGTTAAAAAGATTTATATGCAGGAAGGTTTAATGAAAACTTTCCTTCTCCAGAAGGTAGGTTTACTCATGCCAGATAACAACTTTGAATTTATACACTCATGATTTTTTTTGTTTTTTCCCCCCATCTATTCAATAATTTTTTGTTGCAGGGCAGAATAGGTTTGAAATCAGTTTTCCTTCTTCAAGATGGCATGCCCACCCAGACAAACAAGGGCCATCTACCATATTTAAATCACTCATAACTACTGACCAGGCTTGACACTGCTTAACTTTGGTGAACAGTTGAGAACCAGTGTATTCTATATATAGCCAAAAGATATCCATCCCTGAATACACATGAATATGAAATGGACAAAGTTCGACAATTATTTTGAGACATTTTTTTTTTAATGTTTATCTATAAAAAAAACATATAAACATAAAAAAAAATGTCTTAAAACACATGAATATATAGATTTAATAGTTTCTTGGAGAAAAATTAAAACCAATTTGTTATTAATAAAGAAGTCAACTTTAAGGTTTTTTTTAACACTACTTTTTATTAACTGATAATTGGTTGTAAACAATAATGCCAGTACCTTATATCTGAAGATAATAAATATATATACATTTTTGTTTTATTTATCTCTTTGCAGTGCTGTTTCAAAATGAAGGAACTGTTTTTTTTTTGTCTCTGAGATTTATTGTTCTTTTCACTATAAAACAGTCACTCATTGTGAAACAATGTTATAAATGGATAAATAAAGCAAAAATGTTTTATTTTGTATGTTTTTTTTAATTTGTGTGAGTGAGTGAGTGAGATAGATAGAAACAAGCACAATCATTGTATATGGCAAAAATGATGGAATTATTTATATATGAATCAAAGTATCTTAACTCTTCCCAGGATCAGAGTCTGCACAAAAAAGTGTTACGCACACAAAATAAATGAATATTAAGGAGATTATATATAGTTAATATATTCACATAAATATATACAAAAATACACTGATACAATTTTGTGCAAATATTAATTATAGTTTGTATAAATTTAACAAAATATCTTAATTGCACATACTTTGCATACAATAACTTCAACTGAAATAATTTATAGTTCAATCAAAGAAGAGTGTATGGCAAATATTTTTTTATATTAAATTTCCTGTCATACTGTGTGATACTATATGGCACCAAGACCCTTGCCTCCTGCATCCATGGTTTCAAGCCCTACATCCTCAGAACAATTGAGGGGGTATGGCTAGTGAAGAAGTGTAGCATTAAAAGTTGACTGGCAATCTAAGATTTATTTTAAAGAGGGAAAAATATTTTCTATGTTAAAAACAAAAACAAAAGCTGATGTCCTTCCAAATTTGTGACAGGAAAAGTGACTAGGATCATTATTCCACAATTGGCATGAATCGATGACATGCCACATCATGCTCAGAGATCTTCAACCAGTATGAGGTCAACTTTCTGTAACAAGCAGAGTGGAGAAATCCTCTTTGAGCAACAGTGAACTAGAGAGAGACCTGCATACATTCAACATCTCTCCAGCAGTAAAGATGATGCCCCCCTACTCTGCAAAGAAACACCAGACAAAAATGATTACCCACCACCTACTTGTTGGTGCTCTGATCAGATCAGTGAAAAAAGTCTAACAATGATAGTCACTTGTCTATTCTATGCCTAAAGTAAAAATCTGAGCCATATCTCATGCTCATTGATAAAGAAATTTGCAGAGTATGCAAATTTGTTATCTGACCGATGGTGGGTGTCTCAGGTGCTTATATAAACCACTAAAGTTGAGTGCCTGGGTGAGCTGTTCCGAATAATTGTATGTGTTGGCAAATGTCTGGCAACCACTAGTTTTGACCATTGGTGATCTTGCATGAATTCTTCCATAGATGTAAAGATTCACAGACAGTTCCAAAAAGTAAAAATAAATAAAGACATAGAAATAACAAAGAAACAAAAGTGATTTATTCTTTTCCAAATGTCAATTTCAAATACTGTATTTAATAAGATGCATATAAAACCCCACTATATTTTTTTTTTTTTTTTTTTTTTAACTGGGATAAATTGAGAACATGTATGAAATTAAATAATACTTGATGTACTGTCTAACAATTATTTTTTCTTAATATTTCTTGCTGAAAGAGAAAGAAAGATTAGATGATATCAAATATGCTAATTCCTTGGGTAAAAATCAGCAAAAATAATATTTACTTGTAGTTGTTTTTTTAGAAAGTTTTAAACTCATTTTCATGTGCCCAAATAAACAAAACCATGGAAACAGTTCTGATATTCAAGGGCATAAGTTCAGTTTCAAAAAAAAAAAAAAAAGGTCTATATAAAAGATTTAAGACAAGGAAAAAAGAAAACTTGTTAGCAAGCAACACAGAAGATCAACTAAAAAAGGAAACATACCATAAACAACAAAAAAAGAAACAACAACAAAGAAAAAGCTGTACCCTCAGCAAAAGGCATAAATCATATACAACCCAGGCAGATAGAAAAAGAAACAGCTATTCAAGCACCAGCACACTATTATTATTCAATTTTCTGCCCAATACATTTCAAATATTACATTTGGCATACAAAATGCAACATAAATTCAACTATGATAGATGAAAAACTCAAGTCACTTAAAGATAGAGCAACTCTTGAAATATAACATCCAGCCACAAATTTAGGTATGTGCAAAAGTTTTTTATTAAAAAGAAAAAGGTTTTCATTAAGTACCAATATTTTAAAAATATGCTGTGAACTTTTGCACATACATAATATAGTTGAACGACTGTCAACAATATAAAAGTGATATCAACTTTAATATTAGTCACAAGAAAATGTAATAAGACAATAAAGATATCAATACTCAATTAGTATCATTTTTTTAAATTTTTACATGCTAGAAACAGACAACATAGATATAGTTGGTTTCCAATTGACTATTTATTTTCATTAAATAATAGTTACTTCAATTTGGTACTGAAACTAAGGAACGTCTTAGCAGGGAACTTAGATGTAATCAATAAAAACAAGCTTGCAAATGACATTATTTAACTATGTAATTATATAACTATGTAAGGGGGTGCTGAAAAATTATCAACTCGAGCTACTTTCTAAAATCTGATCAAATGATCAGAAACTTTTTGGGGGGAGGAAAGGCGGGGATTCTTTCTTGGTTGAGAACATTTCAAAACACCTTGTGTCATCCTAAAAGACCTTAAATTATTGAATTTCATAAAATTCTATCAGATTTTATTAAGAATGGAAGATTACTTTGTAGTGATGATCACTTGAATCAACACAATAACTGGTTACTTTACTAGTGATTTATAGATTAAAAATTATTTGTCACCTTCCAAAAAATCAGATGAACAACAAAAAAGGATAAATTTATTTAATTAAGCTATTTTAGAAATGTTACAAGTAAAAATTTATTTACAATATATACTACAAAAAATAATGTTTTGCTTATGGTAGAAATTTGTAAGCACATTATTTGCCTGTAAATAAATATTTACTGAGACAACATTCATGGATGAATATTTTGTCAAAAAACAAAGTCATTGTCTAATTTTACATGATTTCTTTTTTAAAATTAAGAAATATTCTACTAGAAATCTCTAATATCTGTCTATATCTCTTAGATGAGGTATTATGATTGCTTATTTTATTTACATTTTTGAACTGTTATCCTTATCTTCATTGCAATATTCATAACATTTCAGCCTTCTTCAGGTGATTCGAATTTTGAACCAAACTCTTTATTTCATCCACCAGGGTAGACTGTTCTAGTTTCACATGCCACGCCTCTTCCAACAGAAGTAATTATTCTTTATTTGCCCAATCCTAAACACTGATGTTTATTTAAATAATCTTAATCTGTAGTACTAATTGACTAATTGAGTGTTAATTGAACATCTCAAAGAATATTAAATAACTAGTTATTGTAATAAAAATTTAAATGATTTATCTCCCTTTGACCTAATTTGATAAATTATTTCAATTTTGGTGGGTGTATTTTAAAAAGAAACTTTTTTTTACTTGTTCTGTCATTTAGCAAATACAAAGCTTTATTGACAGCTTATATGTCTTAACTGTTATAATGAAATTTCTTTATAGAAAGTTTTAACTAAAAAGTGTAATAGTTTTATCTTTCAGTATGTAATCTGCCATACAATAGGTTAATGTTACAGAAGGTTTTTAATTCAGGTGTCGACTAAAGTGATAAACTGAATGAAAATGGAAAAATTGTTTTTAATGTTAACTTTATTATATTTTTTAAAAATTTATTTAGAATATAATAAGTAAAAAATATCCTACTTACCATTAAAAATCCAAGGCATCTCATATACCAACATCAATGCTAAAAAAGAAATAAAATGATAAATAATAATAAAAAGAAAATAATAAATAAATAGTCAGTAATATTAATTATTAATAAATATTTACAAGTATATCAATTTTCTGTCATATATTTTAAGTTGGAAAGAAGCAAGTTATCCAATTATTTCCTCTTTGTTTCATTTCTATTTCTTTAATTTTAAGAAAAAAGATGTTTATCCACAAAAATCTTTCAATGGCTTTTCTCAAAATTTAAGATAAAAATTATCAGATAACTGTTCAAAATTAATTTTAATTTTGACTTAACTGTATAACAGTAACAGTAACTTATACAGCTCTCTTCCTTCTTAAAGTATATTCTGCTATATAAAATTTGCTCCAAAATAAAAAAATATCAAACATTTAAATAACATTTTTTTTTTAATTTCTTAATTTAAAAAAAAAAAAGAAAAAGTCACTGAATATCAGCATCAACATAATGATAATTCAATGTTGTATGGAAGTTAAATGGAAGAATGAAAAATTGATTACATTTAATTCCTTTTTTTCATTTTAGGCAACTTAATGTGGTTAGAAAATTGGATGAGTTTTATGCCTTGTTCTTTGAAGTTACAAATCACTACACATTTTGATTTAAAAAAAAAAAAATTAAATAAAAACGTAGAACAATTACATTAACTGAGATAAAAAAAAATCCTATCTTAAAATATATTTTTCTGATAGTGTCATTAATATAATTATTAATGTTTATATGCTTATTAGGTTAGGTCATTTTCATTACAATTCTAACTTATTTTTTTTTAACTTTCGTTTTTTCTTATTCCATTCTTTATGATAACTTTAACAATTTCTAAGAATCAATATTGAGTTATTCCATTTTAAACATACCATGAAAGTTTCAATAACACATTACTGCAATGAATAAAAATTTCAACCCATAAAAAAATGCGTAAAACCTTCATACATAGAACATTATATTTATATTAAGACATGAACTTACCTAGAATGCATGGATAGTTGTACTTAAAGCAATTAATACAAAATTTGATGAAATCCATATCCTAACAAGAGAAAAATTAAATTAGACATTACTTTTGAAAATTGCATCTCAATAAGTCCATAACTTGACAATTATTAACAGAATTTTGATCTGAAATTTTCCCTGTATAATATTTGATCTATATGATTAATGGAGAAATGTTGGGTTAAGTATATTAACAAGGAAAGAGATCATGTTGAAAAATAAATATTTTTTTGTATAATAAATACTTGATTTTCATTATTAGGCTACATTGATGTTCCCATATAAATTTGATTTCTAATATACCACATGTTTAGAATGAATGAAAAACAACAGAAAACAAAGAAACAAATTGTCTAAGAGAAATAGTTAAAATTATTTTAATTAAAAACAAAAATGTTAATAAATTGCTTCTAAAACTTTTAAAAATTTACATTATTACTGTGAATACAATACATATTCAAATTTGACTAATTATTCATCTCTCATGTTATTATTGTTTTTAATTGAAACTATGTTGAAAAGAAATGAATAATGACAATTCTCAAATTAAGAAATTTGGACAATTAAAAACCTTTATGTACAACAAAATTCAATGCTAATTGATTTTTTTAATTAATCATGTCTTTCTTTATTTCCATTACAAAATCATCTTGATAATATCAATAGCTATTTTTCTGATTTAAACATTAAACCAAAACAAATACATCAATAAAACAAGTTAAACACAATATGTACTACAATGCTCTAAATGCTTTGAGGAAAAAAAAAAAAAAAGGTAAATCTAATACATTCATGTTATTTGCTGTCTGAGTCTTCATAATTCATTAAAATCTTTGATCGAGGTTTGAGCTAAATAACAGAAATACTCCCTGCATATTATTCAAATATCAATTGTCATAACAATCCTTCAACAAAAAGCCAACTTACCAAGTTGCCAAGACCAGCACCATACATATCAAACAACATCACAATTGGTTCTCCAGGTTTCTCTCGAAAGACTTTTTCAATATGCCAAGCAAAAAAACGCTTCACCGTATGCAAATATTGGCTGTCCCCTTTACGATGAAGCTTTACCCGTATGATCACTGCAAATGAATGTAATGTTTCATTTTGAATTAAAAAGTAAAAACAGCATAATCTATACATATATCCTTATTCTCATCTAGAGTTGCATCATTATAATAATTAAAACACTTTACTAAAAGGTGCATGAAATTTTATTAGTGTTTTATAAAGACAAAATTTTTATCAAATTTTGTATTTATAAGCTAAAAAAATTTAAGTACTTATGAATATGTGTTTAATAAATTTTCAATGAGATTACTAATGAGAAAAATTAAAAACAGCCATGAATTGAAAATAATAATTTACAGTTTAGTCACATTCTATACCAAATAGCTAAGTAAGCGAAATAGTTATCTCCCTTACATTTAAAACCATAATCGTTCATTATTTTTTTTTTTTTACAAACACATCTTTTCTTTTAATTGATTTCACCCCATGCAATGCAATAAAGTCACAAGGAACAAAAACATTACTAATGAGCGAGAAGATAAAATAGTAATCATGAGGACAGTAGATAGCGATTGACATTACATTTAATTTTTTGCAGATTAAAGTTGGCTGGAAAGCATAGAACTGGAAATAGAATTTATGGCTCATCTAGCCATCTCAACTGTAAATTGATGAGATCTCAGCACCAACCTAGTACTGCGCTTAAATTCAAAAAGTTTAGGTACCATAGCAAAGAGTTCATTCGAACAATTACCATAAAAGTATTTATAATAAGAGGCAACCTTATGGCGGTGGGAAAGTGACTGAAGCTGAGCCGCCAGATCAAAACCAATAATATTGCTGATTCTTCTTTGGATTTTATCAAGGAGCTCAAGAGCAGCAATATTCTAAGCATGAAAAAATGATAGACTTATAGATATGTAAGATAGATTCTGGAGAGAAACAATTGTCTAACACAACACAGTGAACTACCTTTCTTAGCAGCAATGGATTGAATGTAGTCTTTCCACTTCATGTCAGCTGAGAACATGAGCCCAAGAAATCACAATGAGTGACTTTCTTGGAGGTTAGCTACTTCAGTTTCAATATCAGTTGAATTTTAAAAGACAAGAACACTATCAGAATACTTATCAGGGATGCAAGAAATGAAAAACAACAAAAACATATTGCTGTCTTGAATGAGAAAATTTTTGTAGATTTTCATTTGAATTATTTCAAATAATGAAACACAAGGAAAGGTGTGGAAAATCATCAACTGTGCTGGGAAGCTTTAAATTGGATCTCTACCACCATTTATTATTCATTTATATTCTTCTCATCTCCAGAAATTGTACACCAATACAATCAAACTAAAATAACCAATATGTTGAATTATTATGAAGATATTTAAAGTGAGTGTTAAAAAGAAATATTTTAAAGTGTCCAAATAATAAAAAATAAAAGTAACTACAAATAAAGTTATTTTTTTTTTAACAGAATAATATAACAATTGTTACTGTCATTTTTTTTTTTTTGCATTACTAAAATATAAACAACAAGACTTAGAATATGTACTAATGTATATTTTTCCTATTTTGAAATGATAGCAGCAAGCATTCAATTCATAATTATAAGTCCTTAAAAACATCAACATTTGTGTTAAACTAAATCCTGGATGGTGTCTATAATTTTAAGAACTTTCCCTGAAAGAAATTGGCTGTAGAAAGGGTAGGCTTAAACACTGAAAACAACACTACATAAAAGAATGAGTTCAGATATGTAAATAAATCCTAAATGTTTTATATTGTTCTCCTAAAACCAGGATTTTCTTGACATTTCTACAATAAGAATTTCCTATTAAAATTATCCAAATTTAAATATATATAGAAATATTTAAATATTCTAATCTTATGTATGATGCAATTGGCAATTATGCCTAAAAAAAAAAAAAAAAAAAAAAAAAAATAGAGCCTATGATTTTAATTATTTAATTGCATAAATATTCAGATATTTTCTGATATTTACTTTACTTACCTAAGTTAGAAATAGTCTTGTTAATATCTACTCAACTTTCATTCTTTTTACATACAAGGGTGTGCTGAAAAGTTTTTAGACTGTCACACGTCCCAAAAATCAGAATTTTAATTGCCAAACCTCAAAATACTAGTTTGGGGAAGTAGATCAAGACATTAACTTTTCAACATTGCTATGTGTTTTAAAAACTTACAAATTTTAATACTTAAATGCTAAATAATTTCACTGATGTTGAGTTCCTCTTGTAACATAAAATGACTCAATGTTTTATGAAAGTAGTTATAGTAACAAATCTGTAAAAATGCAGTTGAGGCACAATGATGCATAATAACCAAATACAAAAGGGCTTTCTTTCTGCATATTTATAAACCTTGTTTTAAATCGAAAAAACCTATTAAATTATTAACTTTTATAGCAATTTTTGTGCTCAAAAAAAAAAAAAATAAAAAAAATAAAAAAAATAATAAAACTTGCCTAAACTTCAAAGATGTGGAATTTTCATTATTTACATTGGAATTAATGTCCTCATCTTTATTGTTATCACAATGTTTAGGCTGTTGTACCTGTTGGCATTACTCTGGTGTCTGTCAATCTAAGTAGCATTCAGAGAATTTTCAACTTAACCATTTATTTAATAAACAGGGTTAGACTGTTCTCATTCATCTCTCTATATCTAGGCAGATACTACCTTACTTTTTTTAGTATTGATCAGTTATTGCTTGCCCTGTTTGCACAGAGTCTGAATTTATAGCACTCAGTCCAGGGATTGAACTCACAAACCAACACTTTCATCTACTAAGCTATTGTCCTGGTTAGTAGCAACTTAGAGGAAACAGGGCGAGCCATAATTGATCAGTATTAAAAAATAAGACAAAATATCCCTAGACATGGAAAGTGGAATGAAATGAGAACAATCTACCACTGTAGAATAAATAAACGGTTCTCTTCAAAGTTTCCTGATGAAGACCGGAGAACACAGCAGCCAAATTGTGATAATAACAAAGATGAGGACATTAGTCCACATGTAAATAATGCAAATATTTTCGGAGATTTAAGTAAATTTTTGTCTATAACTGTAGATATTTTAGTGAGGATTTTTGTATATTTTGATTAAAAAGGTATTCAAATGAAATAAAGTAGCTTCATACAATTTTTAGTATAATGTGAGAATACAAAGAAAAAAAAGGAATTAGTCTTATGAATGTATATAAAAAAACAATTAAAAATTATAAGTATAAATTCAATATTCATATCACCATTGACAAAGAGAAAAAATGAGAGAGGTATAGCGGGAAATTAATTTTTATCAAATACTTACATACTTTGTGGCCATCTTTGTCAGTGTTATGATAAAATATAGCACCTTGTTCCCAAATTTTTTCTTCAAAACTTTCATCACTCATATCTGGAATTAAAAAGAAAATTAGATTTCTCCTTGTAAAATAATTTTTTTTAACATTTCTGATGCTGAATGCAATAAAACTATAAAACATAAAAACTGATTAAGAAAAATATCAAATTTATTTATACGCAGACATTTTCATTTTCTTAAAAAAATATACTGAAATAAAGCTGTTCTATACCAAAAAGTCAAAATATTAACAAAAAGGCTTTTATTTGAAATAATCTCTCAGATGAGTTTCCAGGGAAATGAAAGTGATTGGGCTATTTAAATTTCATTGTTACTGTAATAATGTTTCAGTGAGTATTTACTCACTGAAACATTATTACAGTAACAATTATTACAGTAACATTATTACATTATTATCAACATTGAGAAGAATTTTACAGTGTAAGAATAGAAAGATGAAGATACTATGGATTATTGACACCCATAGAAAGGCAGAAGAGGTTGTTTTATCTCAATCTAAAATGATTGCCAATCTTGATGATGAAGAAACTGAACAGACTTGATATAGTGCCGCTACTCACAAATTGCATGGTTTTATATATATATATATATATATATATATATATATATATATATATATATATATATATATAAAAATCATACTTATTATAAAACCCAAGTTGTGTGTGTATGTGTGTCTGTTCGTTTATATACTGGATCAGATTTCCTACATTTTTTAACAGATTTCAACAAAACTTCACAGGACTACGTAAAATTACCTTGCGGTGGTTCTGACAGCGCCAAAAATTGGAAAAACACAATTGCTTTTGCACGAAATCAATTTGAAAACACAATTAAGGGACATCGCGAGAATGAAAGGGGGACACCTCATATCAAGTTATACTTATTATAAAACCCAGGTTGTTTGTGTGTGTGTGTTCCTTTATATATGGGATCGGATTTCCTACATTTTTCAACCTATTTCAACAAAACTTCACTTTTCTTTTTGGCAGGTAATGTTTCTTATTGTCTTGCACACTTTTTTTCTTTATTTTTACATTCAGAATGCTTTAAAAATTCCATTTACAAGACAATTGTTTATAATAAAATTCTATTCAATCAGTAGACTCATAACGATTGAAAACAATGTTTTTGTTTGAGTTTGACCAATTCGTAAAAAAAACAAAACAAAACAAAAAAAAAAAACTAATTAAGACATGTGTGTCCGTCAACCTTAAACAATAATCTTTGTCAATTTTATTTTTCAGTCTTTATGATGGTCGATACTTGATCTATCTCTTACATCCCCGGGCAATGCCAGGCTCTACTGCTAGTATATATATATATATATATATATATATATATATATATATATATATATAAAAAGGTTAGATAATGATTGCCATGCAAATAACTTAGCAGTGATGCCTGTGTAGATCTACCATTTCCAAACAATCATTTTGCCAAGGGGAATTTACTCAATACTTGGAACAGTGCAAATATGTATTTTTTTGATAGGTAAATTTTTATTTACGCTATTTAAATTGTTTGGACTGCTGTCTTTATTGTGACAATAAAAAAGAGGAAAACTGTCCAAAAAATTTAAATAGTGTAAATAGTTATAATAGTTCATCTCAAAAATATAGACCGATACAATATATCTTCTAATTTATTATTTGGAAGAAACTATATTTGATATTATCAAAATGTTATCACCCACTTCCGTGTTATCTGTAAACATACTTTGAAAAACAAGAACAGGATACTTAAGGGAAACAGTAAGAAGATAAATTAAGTCAAAAATCTTAAATTTACATGTAACTGTGAAGTATTACTGAATATGATTTTCAGGCATAAGAATATATGTCATTTAACCCCAAAATAAATTTCTATTACACTATCAGTGTTAATATGAAATGCGGATTTCTTGTGATTAAATTTACATATCCAAACTATGTCACCTCTCATGAATTTCCAAAAATAAGATGTAGGTTTTTAACCATTTTCAGAGTAAAGCTTTATAGAAAATAGCATTTTTTCCCTTTAAATAGCTTTCAACATGCCTATATATTTTAGTAAAAATGTTAATCCTATATCATTCTCCATCATTTCTAAACAAAACAAAAATATAGTATATAAAAAAAAAAAAAAAAAAAAAAAAAATACTAAGATTTAAAAAAATTTTTTTTAATTTACCAAATATTGGTAATATAAAAATTCTACCTTGGCAGAAGTAATCCGGAATAACCTAACAGAATGTTTCATGGAATATGTTAATGTATCTTATGCTAACAACCTAATATTTTTCTCACTCTTATTCTCAGTTTCAAAGAATACAAATGATTATCCAGACATTGTTAAGCTATTTTCATCATTAAATGCTTTTTCTGTGGAATGTAAGCAAAGAATGTGTTGAGACAACTACAGTGGTAATAGACAGAGAGAAGGAAAAGAGATGGGTGGTAACAAAAACAACAGTGTCTTGGAAACCAGAGCAACTTGAGGCACAAAATACCCACAGGACCAACGGTAAATTTGCTTTTTAACACCCAAATGCCCCCCCCACTAAATATCTCTTAAAATTTTCCCAAGTCGTCATAAATCCGTGTAAATGTACATGCTGAACTTGACCTAAGAATTAAATTATGAAGAAACTTACCGTTTTGGAGTTATCGACAAGAAAAAAAAAAATCAGACTTCTTGTTGGTCATTCGTCTGTCATTACTGCCATAATGTTCAGTAATTCACTGTGTGGTACTTCCGGTGGCGTAAGAATAAATTTTGGCCTATTTTACAGACTTTTGGTGCAGAAAATCACTATGCACTACCATAAAGAAATGTAATTTTTTTTTTTTTTTTTGTAAGTGTAGTTTTATTTATAACAAAAACAAATTAAATAATACAATAGAACCTTTTTTCTGTGTAGAATAGCAAGGACAAATTAAAAGAACAAATTAAATAATACAATAACGCCTTTTTTTTTAAAAAAAAATTAAAAGCAGACAAATTGAAAAACGAAAAAACATTAAATAATACAATAAACCCTTATTTCGTTTCTAGCATTGTTTTTTATTTTGTACATATCATGGTCTTTACAAAGTGCTATGTTTATGGGTTAAGTTTAGGGTTAGGGGTGGGGTTAGGGTTCTGTGTAGAAAAGGGGACAAATTAAAAAAAAAACATTAAATAATACAATCAACCCTTATTTTGTTTCTTTTCTACTTTACCAAGTTTGCACATTAATTATTGTTTGTTTTATTTTCAATTTTAAAATATAACAAATGCTTTGTATTATTTAATTTGTTCTTTTAATTTGTCATTGCTATTCTACATAGAAAAAGGTTTTATTGTATTATTTAATTTGCTTTTGTTTAAAGTTTTGTTATAAATAAAACTACAATTATCAAAAAAAAAATTGCTTTACGACAATGCGTAATGATTTCAAAAAGAGATATAGCTGTAAAAGAAGTAAATAGGCCAAAATTTATGTTTACCCCATCGGAAGTACCCTGCAGTGAATTACTGAACATTATGGCAGTAATGGTGGACGAATGACCAACAAGAAGTCCGATTTTTTTCTTGTCGATAACTCCAAGATGGTAGGTTTCTTCATAATTTAATTGTTAATTTGAGTTCAGCATGTATATTTACACGGAATTATGACGATTTGGGAAAATTTTAAGAGATATTTAATGCGCAGGTGTTTAGGCATTAAAAAACAAATTTACTAGACCAACTTCACAAGACACTGTGTCTTGCTAACTGCTAATCACCACCCCCAGCTTTTATTGGCATGAAGCACCTTACAAGGACCTGAATCATGACCAGTTGTAGAGACACTTGTATCTAGAAATGCCAAACTGTCCCGCTGCTAACAGGGAAAACCCAGATGTAACAGTTGATAAACACACCCACATGCAATCCTGGGCCTTTTTTGCATCTGTACTGATGCACGTTCACCACATTTTCTTTGCCAAAAATATCCAAAGAAATACAATTTAAAACAGTTTTTCAAATTATTTTCCCCATGTCATCTTTTTATGCCAGAAAAACTCTTAAATCACCTCTCATACATCAATAAGTCTATAGCCTAATGATGAAAAAAGCATTTATTTATATATATATATTACTTATTTTTCAATATGATCTCCTTCCTTGTCAATGCACTCAACATAGATTGAATGTTTCACATTAAAATCTGGCACATCAGTATGTTAACTCATGAACTTATGGATACATACTTGCATTTTAAAATAATTTCAAGAGTAAAAGTGAAGAGCCAGAAATTGAATCAACAAGTCTACAAAAGGCATTCATCTTGTAAAATAAACATGATAAATTTCTTTTAGAAAGAAGCCCAAAAATGTTAATAATTTTAAGTATCATTACAGCTAAAAAATATGTCAGATTGACAAATGAGTAACACTCAATGCTTCAAGCTCATAAAATAAAAACTTATCTCAAATCAAATAATTTCTAATATTCCAAACTTTGCTAATGCTTTTCAACTTGGTCATAATTTTTATAAGCCAAGTAAAAGAAAAAGAATGTTGGCTTTGTGGCTGTGCATAAACTGAGAATGAAAAATAAGATTACATCATTAAATACAAAGAATAATCTTAAAAGATTCATTATTTGCTTATCTTTATAAATTTCTTTGATAGATCAAACAAATGACCAAGTCTAAAGAAAAATATATATATATATATTTCACTACCATTGCATAATTTTGGCAATGACCATAAAACACTACTGTCAGGATTTCTGGGATGAGGGGTTATCATGATTATTTACATTCAGACTAATGTCCTCATCTTTGTTGTTATTATCAACATATTTCATCCATTATGCCCTTCAGCCTTTTTCAGGTTTTTATCAATCCAGTTAATGTCTAGAAAATTTCAAAATGAAGCTTTTATTTAAACTACAAGAGTAGGTTGCTATTGTTCTGCAGTCTAAAGGTATCCAGTCTTGTTGTTATTTGGTACTGCTCAGAAGACAATGAACAGTGGAATGTGAACATTCTACCTCTGCAGACTAAATGAAGGGTTCAGTTCAAAATTCTCAGATGGATCAGTAGACACCTAAAAAGGCTGAGCTTAAACCATCTCCCATTGAAACAACAGTTCCTGTATGATCACTGAAGTTAAGCAACATTGAGCCTGGTCAGTACCTAAATAGATAACTACTTGGGAATACCAGTTGCTTGGATTTGGCTGATTTTGTTTAACAGCATATCAACTTCTATGGGTCATTTAATGCCGAAATCTAAATTTCAACACAACTTTATGGCTTCAATTAAATATATTTTGAATGCAATTGTATGCCTTCAACTACAGATGAAATGTATTGTTGGTCTTTTTGCTATAAAATGTATTATTCGTAATTTTACTATAAATAGGTATTGTTACTGTTTTATAGAAAAACGTATTGCTGGTATTTTTACTACTATCACAGTGTTTTGTTTTTGTTTGGGGATTCACTATTTGCCTATAGCTGGGACCCTAACAGGTGCTACCACCCCAGGTCAAGGTGGACCGGGAAACAACAATAATTAAGAGGCAGTTCCATCCTCTTTAAAACCTGTAATCTCTTGATCAGAGGCCTTGCTGCTGGTAATGCCGCAGAATTGGTAATCAGAGAGTCGAGTTAGGTTTGTTAAATTCTTTTGTGCACAAATACCCTTCAGAAATCTATATAAGTAAGACTTGGATCACTAAAACCATTATCTGCCCCTGGCCAAATAAACAAATGAAATAAAATTGCATACAAAATATTTAGATTTTGACATTAAATAATCCATAGAGGTTGATATGCTGCTAAACAAAAATAACCAAACCAAACTTAAAAAGACTGGAGGGCACAACATCCAAAACATGTTGATAATAACAAAGATGAGGATATTAGATCAAAATTAAATAATCAAATACTACCTGTGTCTCATAACAGGTTTTACATTTGCATGCACTAAATATAAAACATTATTATGGGACAGGCACCCAATTCTTGATAAGATAGTAGTAGTATATAATATCCTATTATATTTAAAGCAAGTGCAACATCAAAGTGATCTTATATATGGTTATATAACAAGAAGCATATATAGAGTAACAATCATTATACAGAATATGGCAGAAATACCTCTCACATAATGGTAAGACATTAACAAGATGAAGACACCATTGCCACTAATGTCTTACCAATATGTGACAGGGATTTCTGTCGTACCCTGTACTTATTTAGTTGATAGGCTGTTTGGTATTTTTGGAAAAATAATTATTCTGCTAAGATTAAAAGAGAAAAACAATCTCACCATTCATCTGATATTCAAGCCTCCATTTTAAAGAATCATTTATCAAGGAGGCCACTTCATCAGGCTTTGCTTTGGGGATGTGTTTGCAGTAAAGCTCCAGAAGAAAATCATCTGTCCTGATCTTTTCAAGGTCACGGTCATCATAAAGCCCTTTTTCTATGTTCTCTGTTAGAAAGAAAAACAATACCAAATACATCAAATTGCATATCTCTTGAAGATGTGTATCTGAGTGAGTATATCTTTATAACAAATCTACTGGTTGAATTGGACTGATATTTGGTGCACAGAAGCATTTTTTGACTCCTGCAGTATACTATTCATATTAGGGTTTTAATGTTCTTAGAAACATTTTTTTAAACATTAAAGAGAGCAAACAGGAAATTGAGAGATTAATAAACTAAGAAAAGCTTTTTGAAAAAATAAATTTACTTTATTATTTGTACAACGGCAAATCTTCAATCCATTCAAAGTTCTGACATCTATAGTCTACATCTAAAGACTGAATGCTTTGCTTGGAAATGCTCTTCCAACTCAACTCATTTGGAGTACCCACACCTGATTTTCCCAAAGGACAGAAGCTCTACTGAGTAACATGTGCATAACCCTGTCACTGGTCATGGACATCTTATATATAAAGTACAGTGTGCATGTGTGTTCAAGCAACTCCTCTACTCCCACTGGTCTGATTTCAATGATTCATAGCTCATTCAAAAAACCCTAAAGTTATACACAGGGAACAATTTTCATTGAGCTCAGATTCAGGATTGCCAGATTATGCAAGGTTAAAAATATATATTAATATATTATACTAGCAATTATTGTTGCAATAGGCATCAATAAACTACAGAAGAACTCAAAATTGATTGCTGTATTTAAGTATTGAATTAATATTTAAGCTTACCTTTTAAAAGTTCAATGATAATGTTTCTGCTGCCACTTAATTTAAAGACGGTTTGATGTATGTAGATCCTTATTTTCCATTCAAACAATTATTTTTAGTTCATGGGTGACAGAACAGGGAACAATTTACAAGATAAAATTAATATAGTGTAAAGATGGGAAAATAGAAATTAGAATTAGTTATACAGTCAACATTTGACAAGTTAGAGAAAGATAATAGCTAATTAAGTAAAACCTATATTATGGAATCTAATGAATAAATGCGAATTTGGAGTTCAATTCTCCCATAAATTCTGAGATTAAAAAGCCTCAGCTCTACTTTATAGTAATTTGGTATTTGCTTGACCCCCCAACGAAGTTGGTTGCACTGGCCTTGGTACAAGCACTGATCCCTCTCTCTGGTGCCATAAGAGAGCACTGCCTCGGACAGCTGTTCCCCAGGGCAGGGCACCTCTCAGCATAATTTTCCTCAGTTGCAGAGTAGACCCTGAGCTCAGTCTGCCCAAAGACAGACACACAACCAAGAGATGATAAATAAACATTTTACAAATCACTCCAAAGTGTAATTTATGCACAGTATTTACTCTATCTCCCCACTGAGACGAGATGTGACACAAGGTCTTTTTTAAGGTGGGGACTTGAGCGCAAACATCCAGACAAGGAACAAAAATTGCCCACAGCCCCTGCAACTGTCGGTTGCACTGGCCTCAGTGCAAGCACCAATCCCTCTCTCTGGTGCCATCAGAGGGCATGACCTTGGCCAGCTGTTCTCCAGGGCTTGGCACCTCTCAGTCTATCTTGCACATTTATAAATCTACTATTCATCCGTGCATTGAATACTGTTGCCATATCTAGTCTGGTGCTTTTGCTATTCATCTCAAGGTTCTTGCCAAAATCCAAAGAAAGATCTGCAATGTAATCGAACCTGACTTGTCATCTCGACTTCAGTCACTTCCTCACAGATGTAGCTTCTCTCTGTCTTTTCTACAAATATTTTCAGGGCAACTGCTCATACAAGCATTTTTCCCCCTGGTAGCCAGACTACATGAATTTAAGCATGCTACTAGATTGGCATCTAGGTCCCACCCTTTTACTGTTGAAATAGTTAAATGTAACCACTACTTCTGCTCCAAAAGTTTCTTTTCTCACCCTTCTTGCCTGTGAAACTCCCTTCTGTTTACTTGCTTCTCTGATAGCTACAATCTTCAAACATTTAGATGCAATGTCAACTGCCATCATCTATCTTCCTGAATCTAGTTCATATTTTATCCTTTCCTCGATCACCCTTATGCCCAGTCTTTTCTCTCATTTTCACTCTCTCTAACCCCCTGTGTATTCATGGCATTCATGCCTTGCTTGGGGTGAAATGATTAAAGATTAAAAGGAATTAATTTGTGCAGTATTTAAATAATTGGTTAGCCTAATCTGTTCAATGATTGAGTTTTCAGTTTACTCACTAATAATGTGGTAATGCATGATATTACAAAATAAATAAAGGCTGCTTTTTTTTGCTTTTTTTTTAACATAATTTAGGATATTTTTTTCACTCATGTAAATAATTTTCAAATTTCACAAAAGGAAACAATTTTTAATTTCTTGTTTATCTCACACATATACATGATTCAAAATTTATTTAGCATTAGTGTATCAGATTGTAATGGCACCTATGCATTACTTGATGCAAAAATCAATGTCAAAAACAGGAATCAACACTTTCTTTACCTTCATGTTACATAACCACTGAACTAAAACAATGTATCAGTAGGAAAGTAATTTTTGTTTATTTTTGAAAAAAAAAAAAAAAAAAAAAAAAAAAAATGCTTTTAGTGGTTCCATGGGGTTAGTTTAGGATTAGGGCTTGAGTCAGTACAGGAGGACAGCTTGATATTAGATTGTTTTTATAATTATTTGTCTTTGCATTTAGCTTGAGTTTCTAATCTACTGTTTCATGTTTAGTGAATGACAATCCCAAAATAATGGCAGTTGTCAATTAGATACAAATGAAGTCAATAAATGAACCAAATGTTTCTTTAAAATTCTTAAAATCAACAACAAAAAAAAGAAAAAGGTTTCTCTAAGTGGAAAATCCTTGTATATTCATAGTGCAAAAAAAAAAAAAAAAAAAAGTGTATAATAGTCCACCCATCAAAAGCAAATGAGTATACTAAAAACTTAAATTAAAATTTTATCATTGCAGACAGATTCTTTCTAGTGATTAAAAATGAAAAATTTGTTTTTTTTGTTTTTTTTTTTGCTTTCTCTGCATTTTTTATAAATAGGAAAACAGAATAAATGTTTCTGAAGTTATAAATAAAGCTTATTTGCATTTTAGGATAAAGAAACAAAATCTTCAAATTCATTTTTTTTTTTTTTTAATTGAAAACAGCTATAAAAAATGTTCCAGAAAAATTAAATTTAAAAGTAGAAGCAAGTGAATTGACTCTAATATGATACAACACTGAACCCCGAGTGTCCTTATGCTAACGGATGTTAATGCTTAAAGAACTGACAGGAAATACCTCCAACTCTTAAGTGTTCATCTAGAACCAATGTATATTAGGTTAACAATTTGATTTGCTTGAACAGTACCAGGTTTATTGCATCAAATATGAATGTGGATATCTTGTATACAAAACAGATAGTCAAGTGGCAAGGGAAGACATGACATATTCTTGCAGAAATAATTAATAAGGTCAAATAAGAGTTCATCAGGAGGGGTTGTTTAAACTTTATTCCATTTTTATCTTAATCTTTAGCACTTTGTAAGTGACTTCATTTGTCAAACAAAATGTTTGTACTGCCACAGCATGCCACTCTGATCATCAGACCATAGTGTGGTTGAATTTTGTGCTAGTGTTGCTATATCCTACTATGGCAACAGGAAAATGACTAAATGAAAATCGAAGATGATGCTACTGCTGTTGTCTGGCCACCTATATCCAATGGATGAAATACTTATAAATATAGCAAAGTGCTAAAGGTTAAAGCTCTTATTGATTTACAGGAAGTGAAATATTTGAAATATAGAAATGATAGATAATACAAAAGAAACATTTGTGTCTGATATAGAGTTATGGTTGTGTTTGTAATAAATTTATCTTCAAAATTGATAGTGTGTGTGTGTGTGTGTGTGTGTGTGTATTATACAAAATAGAATATGACATCAAAGCTCTTTCTGTTTATATCAGTAAATTGTCATTTGTATATTCAGTTTTAAAAATCAATTTTTTTAAATAATTTTTCTGTTATTAATTTTCAGTGATCTTTTTTTATCTTTATAAACAAGCAATTTTTTTTTGTGTGTGAATTTCTGGAATAATCAGTTATTATTTACTTTATTTATTTTTTAATTTTGTCCTCATCTTTGTTGTTTTTATCCCAACATTTGTCCAAAACGTTGTGATAAGACAACAAAGATGAGGAAAATTGTCCAAATATAAATAGTGTAAGCATTATTTTGTTGATATCTTTTATCCTTAAACTGCTTAGTTATTGAAATCAAGCCATTTTCTGCCCTGAAAGTGGTAATAAAAGAGTAAGAAATGTTATGATTTTTTTTATTAGTCTATTTTGAAAATCTAACAAATCTAAAATCACTAAAATGTATTTAAGTACTCTACATAAAAATAAAGAAAGTCATTTCATTTGCTTTTTAATTATGAATTTATAGAATTTATCTAAATCAAATGTTTTATTAAGAATGTACAAAATTATTATTTTTGTGCATAACAAAAAAGTTAGATAAAGTTTGAATTTTCTGCACTTTAATATTTGTTAATATTTTTTTTGTTTTTGCGAAGTTAACTTAAAATAATGAGTAAAAACAAAATATAAGTATTGTTTAGACTGTTTTTTGATTTAAGATTTGGTGTATTTTTGTTAAAAAAATGTATTTTTATTATGCAGTTTAATCTTTTTAAAAGAAAAATCCAAGTTTTATTAACATTTATGCTAATGAAGTATCTCAAAAGTACAGGTTCAATCTACAGTGTAGATATAATACCAAAATGAATTCTTATCTTCATCTTTATGAAGAAATATTTGTATATTTTGATGTGAATTGAATGAGTCATTCTGAGGGGTTGGTCTTTTTTAACATAAAATTTGTTAATCCCAAACATTTTGCAATCTAAATATTTAGTCATTTCTTTGCTTACCATCAGTGATTCTATGTGTTGTGAAAAGTTGCTGTCTCCTCTTTTTTTCTTTTTTTTTTTCCATCAGACTATTATATAAAGACAATTAATCCAAAAACCAATCTTGCT